GTTTCATAGATCCCACAAGTCACTTAAGAGTAGGGTAGAATTGTAACTAAAATTGTTTGTTAAGTAAAGTGTCTGAGAGTAAGGTAGAATTGTAAATAAAATTGTTTGTCAAGTAAAGTGTTTCAGAGTAAGGTAGAACTGTAACTAAAACTGTTTATCAAGTAAAGTGTCTGAGAGTACGGTAGAATTGTAACTAAAATTGTTTGTCAAGTAAAGCGTCTGAGAGTAGGGTAGAATTGTAACTGAAATTGTTTGACAAGTAAAGTATCGGAGAGGAGGGTAGAATTGAAAGATACTCTTACATAATAAGGTTTCACTGCTGTCGTACAATTTTCAAATATCTTTTTACACGTCCTATTTTGATAAAAAAATTAAAAAAGATTTAGATTTTAGGCAAATGATAATTCTTAAAACTCATAAGCTCTGATTAATCATGAAGGATGCTTGAAAATCGTTTTGTATATCTAAAGGTGTACAATTTGTTAATATGCAAGAGTTATGAAATAATTTTATATTCCTGTCTAGATATTTACTTGAATAAGAAAGGAATCTACCTACTTACTTCAAGGTAAAACATATATGCATTTCAGGTGCCCCCAAGTGGCACAGCGGTATGTTTCGATACCCGTGATGGGTAGAGCACAGATAGTTCTTTGAGTAGCTTTGTGTTTACTAACAAACAACAGCATTTATAGTAACAAATTTATTAATCTTATCATTAATTTTGACCCATTTTATGTTTTTTTTTGCTTTTATAGTTCCTTTTATAAAAAAAAAGTCTTTTGGAGAATGTAGATCTGTAACTATACTAAACGTAGGAAAATCAAAAAGGAAATTCCAATGTAATTTGATATTTCGTATAGCATAGCATCATATCTTACATATACGTAAAGCAAACAAGTCACAGAGAATCCATCGATAAATATAATCTTATTTTTCTAGCACTGGTTGAGCTAGTCAGGCAAGTTTTTTTGTTTTTTTTTAGCCGCGGCACAACGTCTCATACAACGTCACTGAGGTTTTTATCAGGTACATACTTTTAGCTCATAGCTTCGTCATCGTTTGACCGATTTGAGATCTAATTAGAGTTTTGGGCTCAGGAGGTTAAACCCTTTCGATTGATGTCTTTTACCACGCCCAAGGTCTCATAGAAAGTTTAATTTGAGGGTAGGCTGGTAGAGGTCCTTATGAGTAATTAAATCGAATCGGGTATATGTGCGCCTCATGCTTAGTATTGATGGCGCACAAAAATATAGCTAATAAAAAGAAAAAAGTCTCATAGATTAATTTTCTCTAATTCTGCCCTAAAGAATTCTAAGTGCCGCGGCTATTGAGGATTTCCTCTTGTTTTTTTGAATGAATGGATTGAACAATTTTGTTGTCTTTGGAAAATTAGGCGGGAATTGTGAAGTCGGTAAGACTAGTAAGACTTAATTGGTCAATTTTACAGATGCAATATAGCTAGTACCACCATCATGTGAGCGTAATTTAGACTACACCCACAGTCATTACCACAGCCGTATTAGGAAATCACAGTAACTTACTGCGCCTTTTTTAGCAAGAGGGCCAATTATTTAAAATATTTTTGTCTTCTGATGTATATTAACAGATTTCATCAGGTTTTGTGCCTTTGTCTTAGTGAATCTCCTCCAGAAGAGAGGCAAAACTCTAAGAAACTTTTTCTTGTGGTTCCCTTTTGGTGAAAACCAGACGTTACATAATTTACATTGTCGCTTTTAATAATTTCGCATGAGTAACAAGTTTTATCCTTGTTGACGCAGAAAATTGTATTATACAGTATTACGGTAATTTTACGAACTGGTTATATATAAAGGTCTAGTGACAAAAAGCTGAATCATTTTAATGCTTATCCTAGTTTAGTTTAAAGTTTTTGATACCTACAATGTTTAAATTTTGTTCATTTAATCCCCATTAATGCTAATTTATAGAAAACTAGGATACAATGAAATTTCCTTCCGTTGTCAGTCATGTGCATGGAAGTTGGCCTGATAAAGTTTGTCTATAATAATTGAACTCAGAACTCAATGCTTAGATAATGGTTCCTTTGTCACCAAACCATGACACGATTAACTTTAAGTCCTGTGAGAAAACATTTTGATATGCTTCCAGTGTATTTCAAGGTTTGTTCGTTTGTTTGTTGTTAAGCACAAAGCTACACAATGAGCTATATGTACTATCCCCACCGAGGTTATCGAAACCAGATTTTTAGCGTTATAATCTCTCAGACTTACTGCTGCGCCACCAGCAGGATCGTATTTCACTAATGAAGCATTATGACGAAGCACTATTGGTTTGGTTACAATTTTTTAATATGCTTTTCTTTCCCCTCAGGATGATAATTATATATAAAAGTAATGAAAAACTTTTGTACGAATACACTTCTGTCGGTTTAAAGTTGACTACACATTGTTTTGACACACTAGGAACATAAAGATGCAAAGTTTCACACTGTAATAATTTTTAAGGAGTTTGACGATTGAGTAGTGAATTATGAAACTTTATTTAGATTATTATTACTTTTAGAGCTTACATATGGTTATGGGAAACTCGGCTGCATTTGAACGAAAAAGATGTTAAAAATCAAATATGACGAAAACAGATATTTGAGTTATTCTTGAGTGTAATTTAATAATAATTTTTTCTAACAACAAAAACTGTTTTTCTTCTTTATTGTAACTGCACATCGTTAAGAACAGAAATTTGGTAACTGTCTAAGAGGCTCTCTGTACAGTACCTGAAATTATCAGTTGGGCTGGACGATGAGAGACAAAAGATCCTATGAAACGCTATTTGTACATGCAGTATAGTGACTTGTGGGATCTATGAAACGCTATTGATACATGCAGTACAGTGACTTGTGGGATCTATGAAACGCTATTTATACATGCAGTATAAACACTTTACTTGACAAACAATTTTATTTACAATTCTACCTTACTCTCAAACACTTTACCTGACAAACAATTTTAATTACAATTCTACCCTACTCTCAGACACTTTACTTGACAAACAATTTTATTTACAATTCTACCTTACTCTCAAACACTTTACCTGACAAACAATTTTAATTACAATTCTACCCTACTCTCAGACACTTTACTTGACAAACAATTTTATTTACAATTCTACCTTACTCTCAAACACTTTACCTGACAAACAATTTTAATTACAATTCTACCCTACTCTCAGACACTTTAT